CTTATAACTATTAAATTAGTTAAAGATATAAAGGCTAAATAAATAAATACTAATAATATCTTTACTAAATTAAAGCTTTAAAAGAAAATCTATATAAAGCTATTATCTAGTATTAAGATTTAGAAAGGCTTTACTATTTAGCTTATCTAAAGCCTTTATAGTCTTAAGTAATTAGCTTATAAATAATATCTTTACTATAATAAAGTCTATAAAAGAATAGGGTTTAAGCTAACTAATACTAATTCTTATATCTTTATTTATAAGAATTAAAAACACACATACACATATATATATATAAAAGAGAATTAGATTTTATAGATTTGTAAATTTTATAGCCTAAGGGAGACTCTTAGGGACCCCCTTTATTTTTTTTACTTTTTTTATATTTTCTTGTCTTAAATAGAAGAATAAAAGAATAGAAGAGTAAAAGAATAAAAGAATAGAAGAATAATAGAATAAAAGGATATTCTATAGGCTTTTTTTATACACTTTTTATATGCTTTTTCTATGCATTTTATATGCTAATTTTGCGCTCTTTTTCTGCGCATTTTATGTGCTAATACTGTGTATTTCTATGTACTAATTCTATGCCCTCTTTCTCCTTATTCTACATGCCAATTCTATGCCTAGAGCTAGGTGCCAAAATTCTTGAGACTTCTCGCCACACCACTATTTCTACATCTATTCAATAGAGGATAGAGAGCCCATTTCGCTCTCTTAGGGCAGTTACTTGATCTAGTATCATACTAATTGTCTTATTGATCTCATCTAGAGTGATTTTATCTCACTCCTTCTTAATAGTCTTGCGTAATTCATCAATATTAAAGATAGGGCCCTTATTCTTTAACCTCTGCTTTATTATTCTCTAGATTAACTTAATAGGGTTGAGATCAGGCGACTACAGAGGATTAGGTTCGCATTTGATCTCTAAACACTTTTTTGTTTGTTTATATTTATTATTAGTGTTGTCAGAAGTGCTATAGGCGTTATTATTATTCTCTAAAAGTATCTAACTTAGATTCTAATTAGAAGTAATAACTTCCTCCAAAATAGTAATATAATTAGCTTATATAAGCCTCCTTTCTCCTCTTAAGCCTATGTAGAAGTATAGCTTGCTTTTGAAATCCCATCTAATATACGCAAAAACGTGCTAGACTTGATTTTAGCGTTTGAATTAAAATTAGATCTTTTTAGGGGCATTTCACGCTTTTATACTATAATAGTAATAAATTCAAGCTTATTATTATAGAGCATAAGCGAAATAAGATTTGTTATTATATTTATAGCGTTTAAAGTTATCTAAATACTAATATTAATATTTAAATACTCAAATTCCGCGTTTCTTATTTAATACTACAGAGATAAATTTTTTCTGTTATGCTATATCCCTTGTGTCCCAAATCGCCTGTATTAGACTAATTATTAGAGTTATAAGAATAAAAATTACATTATTTAAAAGATAATTTTAAGGGCTATTAAATAATATATTTTTTATTCTTATAAACTTAATAATTAGCCTAATACAGGCGATTTAGTTTTTTATACGCTAAACTCAAAATAGTAAAGTAACTTATTCAGGGACACAAGGGATAAGTGCTTACACTATATTTAGCTATGTTTTTTTGAATTACACGTTCAGATCTAGTAGCTAGACTTATAGCCCTTGTAATAGTATAATAAGAAGTAGCTATATATTAATATAAGGCATTTTCAACTATTTAAATAGCATTATATTAATAAGAAGCTAAAACTCGATTTTGACCTTAATTATAGATGTGTTTGCTGCGGCGTAGAGATTTTGACTTAAGGATTTAATAGCCAGTTGCTTTAGCTATATTATATGCCTTAAATAGCTCTATGTAAGGCAGTTTGCCAGCAGTAGCTTCTGCGTCACAAATAAGTTGTACCCGGCGCAGTATATCAATAATAGTTTGTGCCCTGCGTAGCAACAATAGGATTATCGAAATTAACGAATCAGGGATTCTGCAGGTTCTTCGGTTGGTTTTGCGCGTTTTAGCCATTTTGTAGAGTATTTGGAGTTGATCTGGTGGAGCTGTATGAGTTTGAAGATAGAGGGTGTTGAATAGGGTGGGTGAGAAGTCTCAAGAATTTTGGCACCTAGCTCCGGCCCTCTTTCTGCGTGCTAATTCTGCGCATTTCTACGTGCCAATTCTATGCCCTCGTTCTGCGCATTCTACGTGCTAATTCTGATTTTGATCGGGTATGGCTTGGCAAGAGTTCTGCAGCCTTGGCCCGCTAAAGCACTGCTTATTTGCTAACTAATCCCAAGAAGGCAGGAAGAGGGGAACATTGACCAATTACAAAGATGGTTCCTGCGGCCCGCATTTTTAAGCTTATAACCGTCACAGCCAACTGCACGAGCTTGGCGGTGTAGACACATTAGATAGATGATTCACACACTTTTTCAAAGAGACTCTCTTTCCGCCTATCTTGCTATTATCTTTCGGCTCTTGGGCTTTTCGACCGTTGTTTTATTGCAGGTTTAATTCTTTGAAGCTTTATTGCGTAAAGTAGAGCGATAGTAATCAGACTAGACATATAAGGTCTATGTCTATATCTATACGTCTGGATTTATTGCTTTTGAATAGATCTCTTATAGGCATCTTATTTCGTTTAGGCTAGAAAAGAGGAGGGATATCTAAGAGAATTACAGCACCAAGAAAAGACCTAGGTTTACCTAGGCCTAAGAAAATACTTCTTAATATCTGTCGCTAAGAAACACCCCTTGAATACCTAATAAATACACCCCAGAATAAGTCTCTTCTCTCTTTCTAAAAATAGTCCTTCTCCAAAAATAGTTCATCTCTAAAAATAGTCCCCCAAAAACAGTCTTCTCAAAAACAGTCCCCAAGAAAGCAACTCTTTTTCCTCCTTATTTCTGGCTAAAAGTGAGAGCCACCTCCGATTAAAAAGGTAAGACGTATAAGTAGGAAGAAATAATGTCATTACACACCAACTTTGATATTACTTTCTCAAAGAACCAATTAAAAGGACACATCCGAAACTAAATGCATTCTTGCTGAATGATTTCCTCCCTTAGTACCTAGATGTCTTTGCTGCTATGTCGACAGGACCAACGAGGGCTAGTCAGTCTCGGTACCAGTCCATTCTCCGTACCAGTCCAGTCTCTGTAACAGTCCATTCTCCCTACCAGTCTATTCTCCGTACCGCTCCAGTCTCTGTATTTAGTCCATTATCCGTACCGGTTCATTCTCCGTAACAGTCCATTCTTCGAACCAGTCGTAAGTTTTGAAAAGGGTGAAGTAGCTGTTATGCTACTGGTTGTTGTGCCACATGCCGTTGTAATACGAGTTGTAGTACTACAGATTGTATGTAGTCGTGCTATATGCCGTTGTAGTAACTCTACCGTAGGAGTTTCTGGGATACTCCGTATCTGATGCGGATTCATAAAAACCACATCCTCTTTCCCCTTCTAGCAGAATTCGAGTCAGCTATCGGAATTCGTTCCCGTTGATACGCTACGCTCACAGTGTGCCAGCGGTATCGCTAGTAGTCCTAAGGCTCCTCTTAACTATTTTAAAAATATTATATATCTTTATGGAATGCATCATGGTACAACTGCATGCATTGAACTATTTCATTCTTGAGTTGCACGCAGTATGAATACATCTGTAACTTTCGACATGCTCTGGCAGCGGGTAGTAGCCGATCCTAACGTCATGTTATGTCCTGCGTGTTTCACAAACGCGTTCCATCCACAGTGTAAACTTGTTGTACCCAGATCGCATCTGGCTGGGTCAACGTATCTTCATCCGCGATAGTTGATGTGCTCGACTGGCCTCCCCTCGGAGCAGTCAGGTCACCACTGAAATTCGCCGAGGACTGATGATTGGGAACGTTGCGTAGAGGATATGCGCTTGCGCCCCCCTGGTACCTCTTCCTCTCCGGTTCTTTGTGGAGGGATGCGCGATATGCGACAAGGCATGAGATAATGATCGCTTTGCAACGATGGAAACCTCAATGTTAGTAAAACTTCGACATTTTTGAGTAAGACTTGGGAAGCTGAGCTGGAAAACAACATACCGACTGCGCCCTCGATCGCAGACCATGAGAAGAGCCAGGAATCATCCTCCCTGGGGCTTTCGAGAGTGAAAATTACTTTGATAACTGCGCAGATCATGGTGAAGAGAGTCAAGCAGAAAACAGCCGCTATTTCGAGCTTCGTTCGGAGACTAATGCGGACGGTCCAGAGTAGTGTGATAGGTATTATGGTGACTATCAAAGTCAGGTATTGAATTGAAGAATGAAGAAATTGTGATCATCAATGGTGTCTTTTACTTACTGAGAGCGTCCGAGGCGACATCGACAGCGGCTTGGACGCGTAGAATCGCCCGTATGTACTCTCCTGTCTCAGGCTGAGCACATTTGACTAGGGAACGGGTTAGTCTGCCTGACCCTTTCATTGACGACTATATAGCTTACCAGCGATCACCCTGATATCCCCAAAGACACACCCATAGGCTTGGACACCAATGGAAACGGCCAAAGTTGCCACTGTGAACAGAAACACAATCCACCAGAGCACGCGCTGTCTTCTAACCTTCCGGCCCATTTTCTTGAACAGTGCCAGAAGAGCAAACTTCACACACCAAAGAGACACCAAGGTTAAGATGGTCACGGCGATGCCTTGGTGCACTTGCTTGTCTATCTTCTCCCAGAGGTCGGCCGGAGGCGGAGATATAGCGCCAACGGATATGTCCCAAACATAGTAGATGATGTAGACCCTCGTTTGCCATATCACAGCTGTGATGAAAAGAAGTATCCACGCCAACAGGACGAGGGCATCATCCAAGAAGAGGCGACGAAATCTTTTGATGCGGCAGTACCCTCGGAAGATGACGAAGAGGAACGATACCATTGAACTTCCCCATACTATACCCTGTAGCATAAATCAGCGACAGCAGTTGAGATAACGAGGGTTAAGGCTCACGAGGAATGTTGTCTGACTTATTGCCAGAGGCGTAAAGCTTGCAGGAGCAGTAGACATCGTATTGAGCTATGACGGGGTGAATGCAGAGCCAGGAACATCACCAGAACCGAGCAAATTATGAAAAAGCCAAGAACATAGGCATTTTGGATTATGGTGCTTCTAACGGCGGGCAGTGGGATTGAGCGCGCTGTTCTGATCTGGCAAGCAAAAGCCATTGGGCCCCAAAAGGGATCGGCAAAAATGAGGCGGAAGGAAGTGGTGTAAACGCGCACGAGTCTGAGAACAGTAAGGATCCCCTTTGAGCTGAGGAATCGGGTGACACCACCGCAAGTCGCAGGATTCCCTCCGCCTTAGTACACATGCACAATTCAGCTTACCATGCAACGGGCTGGATGCGCTGCAGTGATCTGTTGCTCTTCTACTGTAAAGATAGCAGAAAGCTGTCATCTAATGACAACGGAAGTGACGGAAGTGAGTCTCCTACACCATTTGCGGCCAGCTTTGTATCGTACTAGTTAGAGTCGGCCCGAAGGCCCGCACATTGGTGGAAGCTTAGCATTGGCATTCCATATGCGTTTGTCGGCGTACTTGTCGTGAACCGATTGCCCTAGGGCTGCTAGGCCTTAGCGCGTTCAGCTATTATTCTGCATCTGAACTTACTAAGACAAACCTACACTGCCATCGTTATTTTGCCAGAAGGTAGCGGATGGTGTGCTTGGACACCACTCGTTCTGCTCCCGATCCTTCTGGGGTTTGTGGGGCCATCCTTTGACGCACGGGGCGCTAAGCTAATGCAAGAACCCGGATAGACTGGCAGCTCACATGCACAATTCGTGACGAAGGTGGGATTCGCGCCATGTTCAGGCCTCCCCACTCGTCAAAGATCAAAGCCATCCGGACCAATCGTAAAGGCTTCCTGAATTGAATCGACCTGCTCTACTGACGACATGTGGCCCGGACGCATATCTCTGGCTCCTAATGCTGCTGTGATATGCACAGACAATCCTTTACAAAGCTACAAGTGCTTACTGCTTGTACGGTACCAGGGATGAGTATTGGTAGTTTGATGCTAGTATGAACCGTCTCAAAACGCGCCATTTACGGAATCCTCTTCTTGTTATTTTACATTGTCGTGTTGCCGTCACCCTAGGTCTCATCAGAGTTATGATGAAGCTATATCATTGTGCTTATATCTCTTCTTTCCCTCTCCTCTGTGATTGAGAGCTATTGATGTCCTCTACTTCCCTTCTAACTGTTCAAATTCTGTCTTTTTTTTCCTACTAGGATATATGCGAGGACTTGATTTATGGTGATCTTCGCATGGCCATTTAATGCGATGGTTGGTTTCGAAGACTTTACCTTTACTTGGGCTATAAGCTGGAACTGGAAACTCTGTTGTCTTCTGTGTGGCTTTTTTCTTTCGCTAGTCTTTATCGCTGGATACCCATCTTCTCCAGATGCTCTCGCGAAAAGCTTTCACGGGCGAACCCCCCCTCTAGCCCCTTATCGAGTCCCTGTCATTGGTCACTTTGCTTCGTTTCTTCGAAATCCTGCGAGGCTCTGCTTATCTGTGTCGTAAATACCTCCCGCATTCTTGTGGCAAGCCCAGCTGCTGAGATGAGCTACAGGAACCATTTTCACCAAGCGATTCCTTGCCGTCTGAATTTGTTCTACCAGGAGATATACCTCATCTGGGGCCCTTCGGACATCAATCTACTATGGAAAAATTCCGACACTTTCACACCAAAAACAGTTCAATTGATGGGAATGCGGAATATACTCAAACTGGGGCCAATTGGGGCGAGCTTCTGCGAGTCAGATGATTCGGGCAGAGGTCCACGACCGCATCCCAGGAGTCAAGTCGAGCCAGAAGACCGTCTTTGGTTCCACACACACAACACTGCGGCTACTTTTCTCTCCGGTATCCATCTTAAAGCTATTCTAAAAACATTCCAAACTAATTTGAGAACACGAATCGAGGCGCTACGGATCGATCGTAGATGGGACGAAATACCAGACTTGTACCAATTCATCTACAAGACATTGTTCCCCACGCAAGTCGAAGTTTTGTTTGGGACTTCCTTCCTTGCTTTAAACCCGAATTTCCTTCAAGATTTCAGGGATTTTCACAAAGGCTTGGTATATTTGCTTCGGGGGTATCCAAGCTGGCTGGTTCCGACCGCATGCAGTGCTCGAGAGAGGTGTTTGGGGTCTATAAAGAGGTGGCATTTGTTCTTGAAAGAGCAGGAGGGTAATGAAAACCCACCGCGCGATGAAGAGAGGTCTCGATTATATGGCAGCCGCTATATTAGAACCCTACAGAAAAAGTACGGAAGAATGAAGCCTCTAGATTTAGATGCTGTTGCAAGTTCAGAGTTAGGAGTGATATGGGCGTGAGTAATCCCTGCTGTGGCTCCTCAAGCTTTGCGTGCTAAATGAGTGCATTGCAGCGCAAATTCCAACATTATCACTGCCACTTTCTGGTACATCATCGAACTCGCCAAAGACCCCCGTCTTCTCTCGAGAATTCATGCCGAGGTTGGGGCTTCATTGTCTCAAACTAATGACTCAAGGAGCACGATAGATACCGACAGACTCTGTACACGCCCTTTTATTCAGTCCGCCTACGCGGAAGTGCTCCGACTTCACACCTACAATTTCCTTCTAACCACATCTGAGCACAGTGACTTCAATTTCCGAGGATGGAAAATCCCCAAGGACCAGATGGTTGGGATATCTAGCCACACCGCTCACATGGACAACAAAGCATGGAATACGGGCCTTGTTGACGGAAAGGCCCCTGTTGAAACATTCTGGGCCGAGCGATTCCTCATCTATGAGGGCAGTGCACGTAGTAAACCGTTGAAAATGGAACACTTTAAGCGCAGAAACACCCAGAGGCACTCGACTCACGATCTTCACAGTTTTTCTAACAGCTCCTTCGCGTCAGAAGAGAATTATTCCTCAGAAGAGTCTCCCAGATTTTGCCTGGACGAGCTGAGCGGCATTTGGATCCCATTCGGGGGGGGCTACAGCCTCTGTCCAGGACGCCATGTTGCCAAAGCAGAGATCTTACTGGCAGTGGCGCTTGTTAGTACCGCATTCGAGTTCGAGGTGTTGGATCAATTGAGTCTAAAGGACAGATTCATGAGCAGATTCGTGAGTATCAAAGACAAAGGCCTGCAGCATGACATGAGATATTTTGGAATGGGCGTCCTGCCTCCCAAAGACAAGGTGGCTGCGAGAATCCGAAGACGAGTTGAAAGAGATTAGACTGGCGGAGAGCGAATAGAATAATATGGTGTAGTATCACCCTACACTATCGTCTATCACCCCTACAGTAGACGCATGTGCTATTAGCCCTTTTGATCACAATATAGGACTATTGAAAACAATTATGTTGGTGATACGAGGCAATAGTGCTAGATATCAATGCGCATTGAGTGACACTGCTGTTGCCAGCAATCTCCTTTATTGCACCTGGCAGTTGCTGCACTTGACTATATATAGGTAGATGAGGCAGTCGCTTCTTATAACTATTCCCTTTTCCTATGAATGTTTCGCCAGCATTCAGCCTGCATCTTCATCCACTTTTCTTATACGCTTTTCGCCCATTTCCTCACCGAAGGTAGACATTATCGTTACTTTTTGTGCCTTTTAGCAGTTTTATCGGTGGCAAGCCCTCTGACACTGACATCAATAAAACAGAGTCGAGATTTTTAAGACTGGAGATGAAACATCTCGATAACTATAGAAAGTGAGCAATGAACAACGTTAATGGAGTGTTTTGTGACCATACCGGTAACGTTGAACTAAGACAATACATACCGCCTGTAGCCATATATATGGCATTACTGCCCCCAAGTCTCTCTTCCCCAAATGTATGCAGACTTCCACTTTTAAAGGGAAATGGCTTCTCTTCTCCACCCCATCACCTTTTTTTTAATTCAAAATGCTTTCACAATCTCCATCATCGCATTTACTCGTTCATACCACCCAGTCCGAACAGCGCTTCTACCTTTCTATTTAAGCTATATAATCTTGCTATTCCCAACCTACCTCAACACCCTCCACAACGTCGTCCTTGCCTCGATTGTCTCCGGCACGACCTATGCCAATCTCCTCTCCTATCTCGACCGCATCATTCTCTCCCAATGGAGCTTTGAAAATGGCGGCCCGGCTAACGTTCCAGAACTTACAAAAAGCGAGCAGCTCTTAAGCCGAAACGAAATCATCGGTACCGCCGAACCCAAAGCCGACCACCGCATCACTTCTGGAACCATCCTTCAACGCCTCGGATACGGCTACTTTGTCAACTCGGCCGCCCGCCTCATCGGTACCCCACAACAAGTTAAGAATGTTCCCCCATACTCCATCCTGAACCCTTCTTACATCCCTTCTCGTAGCCGGTTTCTTCTCCGCAAGCTCGCCATCTTCTGCGTCTGCTACCTCGTCCTCGACCTCGCCACCTCAAGCGCTGATCCCGCCTCCAACGCGGTGCTTTTCCTTCCATCCAAGATCCCTCTTTTCAGTCGCTGGCGGGACGTCAGTGCCGAGGAAGTGGCTCGGAAGGTGGTAGGTGGTGTCGCGTATTGGGCTATGTCATACTGCACGATCCAATGTTACATGGGCGCGTGGGCGTTCCTATGCGTGATGTGCGGAGACGACCCAAAGTACTGGCGGCCGTACTTCGGGCACCTAAGCGAGGCATACACGATCCGGCGGTTCTGGGGGTGAGTGATTCATTCATTATCTCTGAATCCTCTGTTAGCAGCTGTTTTGATGCTCCCTAAACCCCGTTTTCTGTCTCTTTGCGCAACACCCTGGCTTACGTTTTCGTGGTCCTTTTGGTCATGAGAAGTGTGTTTTGGCACCAGAATCTCCGCAGGTCTTTCACTTCCATCTCAACCTCCTTGGTTCACGGAGTGCTGCACCTTCCACGGCATAGCCTAATGGCGCGCTACATGCACCTTGCCGGGGTATTTTTGCTCTCGGGTCTGCTCCACAGCCTCACTGAAGTCGCTGCTCACGGCGGTCTCGGCAACGGTTCCTCGATAACGTTTCAGGACTCCCAGTGCACGCGGTTCTTCCTAACACAAGCGTTTGGCATTGCCCTCGAGGATGGCATACTGGAGGTAGTGAGAAGGGTGAGGATGTTGTATGGAAAGCCGGAACGGGCAACGGGGGGCATCTTAAGCCGAATAGTTGGGCGGGTTTGGGTCGTAGTGTTCCTGGGTTGGTCGACGCCCGCGATCATGTACCCTGCCGCAAGATTAAACACGGGGAAAGGGAGCGATGTGTTACTACCGATAAGTATTCTTCAGACTGTCAGGAGCGCGCTGGCATGAAGATTGAAGTTGAAAAGGCTTTCCCTCATTACGCAAAGGCCAGCCTGCAACAGGTCCAAGATAGTACCTCTACGGGGGACATTTTACCACTTGCCAATTTTAATCTCAGTTGTCATGCATAAGCCATGCTTTTCCCAGGGATGCCATGGAGGAATATTCCTACCGCCGTAAGATGGGGGGGAGAATTAGCAACATATAATTAACTAGTTGGCTGGGAAATCCATGTTTTGCCGCTGATGGGATAGATGCGTATGGGATTGAAGCAAAAACATCCGTTTGAAACGATGGTTCCAACGGTTTCAACGGTTCCAACGGCCGGGCATGAGGACGATGAGATATTTGCCAGAGGCATTAAAAGTCAGGCTTGCTGAATCAGTATTGGCCAAATGGTGATATTTTGATTGTTCCATTGGGCGGATGCCTTTGTCTCATTCAGAGGTCCATCAAAGACGACGAACTACTTCAGTCTAGACATCGAAACTCAGTCTGGTGTCTGCGTAAGAAAACCAGACATCTGTAAAGAGAGTTGCTCGGACAATTCATCCAGATTCAACCAAGATAAATTTTAGGCAAATGATTAGCTGCAAAGGGGCTGCCGAGCAGCCTTGGGATTCCCAAACATCTTTCTCCTATCCAACGAAAGCTACATTCGTGACCGGCCCAGAAACATCAACAAGATCTCCCATCTGTAAGTGTTAGAGACGTGCGCTATGCCAAGGTGTTCATAATTTCTATGGTCAGGCATCACCAGAGAGATTCTCCCCCTTCGGTCCAACAGTCTGTAAAAGGGTCCGCAAATTTTTGGACTTTGACCGCTTCTGGAGGGAGGTTTACGACAGGGCGTCGTAAAGCGTAAGGGAGAGAGAAGCGGTTGCACCTCTGTAGACAAAGTGAGCTGGGCGTGGTAATATATTGTCGAGTGAGACCGACTAAATCTGCTTGGGGGGCCAGACAGGGGGGCTCTGATTTCTCCTAGACAAATGCCCTGACATGCGGATGTGGGAAGGGAAAGCAGAGCATTATAAAGTAAGCCAGGATAAATATTGGAAACGTATTAAATGAAGATCAGTGATTATCACGTGATAATAGAGTTTGAGAGCAACCAATGTATAAATTTATACCCAGAGCTTCTATGAATACTTCTATGGGAGGCGATCCCTTCCGACCACTCCTAGGCTGCGAGAAGGATCTGCCAATTCGAGCTCAATGCCCAGACAGAGGAGAAGCTCAGCTTCTGCCCATGAATGACACCGTGCTTGCAAAAGAGGGGGGGAAAGGGGGAGAACACGACAAAGGCAACAAATCCGGGTGCTCTTTCTACAGGACCGAGACCAACGAAGCTTGAAAGGGAACAAAGTCAAGGATCATCCAGCAAGATCAGTTGCAATGGCCTAAGACTCAAGCTAGGGAGACAGCGCCGCAAAAAAGTCAAAGATTCAAAATACTAGATATTGTCTGCAAAACTCCAAGGAAAGCTCGAACAGCAGCCGAGGACATTGAGATAATCAATTCAGGCAACTAATCACAAAGCTAGAGAATCATAAATTGAAATCTCGGCCCAGTGGTAGCGTTATATAACCTCAATTCTCTGTATCCTGCTTGTTCTCTGCATCTTCACTCTTTTCTGCTGCACTGAAAAGCGCACAAGACACTCCTTCCCATCACTTGGATTCCGTCTTAGCTATCTTGTTGACCGTCTGCTTCTCATATACTCCACCACGAAATGCATATGATCAGGAGTGGATCCAGCCATCGCGGATGCCGGTGGTGGGGCTACGTGCGGCTTGAGCAGGTCGATTCCCTTGGTCATGAGAGCACTGCTGGAGTATGGCGGGCCGTGACGGGGCGGGAGAGGTCGAGTGAGGAGATTAGCTGGAAGGGAAGTGAAAGAAGAAGAAGAAGAAGGAGTAGAAGACAGGAAGGAAGACACAACGAGGGTGATTGAGGAGCAGCGGGCTCTTCATACCCGGGCCAAGCGGCAAGAGGCCGCGTTACCCAATCGGGCGGAGCTAAACCGGAAGAGGCAGCGCACCGGCATCTAGACTACCTCACCTAGTTGTCAGTGCTACATGTCGTTGTACTACGAGTTATAGTACTACAGATTGTGCGTTATCGTGCTACATGCCGTTATACTACAAGTTATAGTACTACAAATCGTTGTGCGACAAGCTACAGTATAGTTCGAGACCTGGTTTTGGGGCCCTTGTAGCTAAGGGCTTTAGATGAAGTAGAAACTGATCATCTCAGACATAAGAGACCGAAATTGGATCTATTAGACTTTATAAGGGCTGTTTGGCCTATTTTGCTACATGTTACGCTTGCTACGCCTTATGATCATCTATATATATAAATATGCTCTTTGTATACTTATTTAGATAGAATAACTTGTGTTCTTTACTTATTTTGAATCTATTTAATAAAATTCTTCTTACTGTTAGTTAATTCTATTCTCTTTATATTAGTATAATTATACTTTTGTAATATTATAATTGCAGATATTAGAAAATATTTGAATTAGTCTTATATCTGCTTAATAGATGCTATTAAATTTATATAGTTAAGAGAAACTCTATAACTACTAGTAATACCTTTAATAATGTGAAAACTAAGCTACATTACAGCTTGGTTAGTGGCTAAGTCCCCTGAGGGCCAAGTCCTGGAAAGGCTAAGGAGCCCCCTAAGGGCTTTGTGTCACACATGTTGCCGTAGCTAATGCCCTAGTTAAAGCTTAGCATCAGGATCAACTGGAACATGGAACTCAACTAAAGTTTATATAAGTAAACATATTAATATAAGGGCATTATGCAACGAATATATAACGTAGTTGCTACGTATAGACTCTTATCTATATTCTAGCTTGCATTAAACAGTCTTATAGCTGTTTAGAGCTTCTTTACGCTCCTTGGCTGTAGTCTATATAACAGACTAGATGCTCCCTAGATAGCTAGAAGATGCAAGTAATTTAACTACATCAGTAAGACACTTCTACTCTATTACTACTTAACTACTCTTAGTTGACTTCTATTCACTTCTGTTATTCCACCTTTTCACAAATAAAGTGTGAGTATAATACATTAAAAAGAGCAGTTTCTAGCAGTTAGACAACTAGAGACTTAAAAAAAAAGCAAAAAAAAGAAAATTAGTTTTTAAAGCTTAGTTATAAAGTAAGTAAAATTAGATTAAATAACCCTAAAAAATTAAAATTGTCTAAATTAGTGTTTTATATCTTAAAATCTAGAGTTATAAAATAGTCTAGATACTAATATGTTATCTCTTTAGATTTAGCCTTATCTATTTAAGAAACGCGTTCTTTTATCACTTTACTTAAATATAAAGAGTTTATTACTTTTATTTCTTTTATTATTTCTTTTACTTTTATTTTTCTTTTTTATTTTCTTTATAAAAAGTCTTCTTTTTCTGTTTATTATATTACTATCTTTTACTGTACTCCCTTAAGTGACACTTTAGCGAACATGACAGACACACATACATAGACAGTCGACTTCGTTCGTAAATTGATCCAAGTATAGGAAGAAATCTATAAAGGCCTAAAAGAGGCAGTCCTATAGTATAACATACAATTACTCCTTAATCTTATTCTCTACCTCTGCTCTTATAAGCAACAAAGCTAGAACGCGCCTACCTCTCAGGGGAATACACCTAAATCATGAGAAGCATACGCTATAAATAATCTATTAGAGAAACAAGATTAAGCCTAGAACCTAATAATATAATTAGAATAGGTAGAGCAAGCCCTAATAAGATTAGCCCTAGCCTCTTAACTAAAGAGAAAACCTTAGTTATATACAGACGCTATATCCCTTGTGAGCCCGAATATCTCGAGATGGGCATCCTTTCTATTTGGGACTAGTATTTTTGGCTTATAAAAGGCTAATTATTATAGCTATAACGCTATAAATAATCTATTAGAGAAACAAGATTAAGCCTAGAACCTAATAATATAATTAGAATAGGTAGAGCAAGCCCTAATAAGATTAGCCCTAGCCTCTTAACTAAAGAGAAAACCTTAGTTATATACAGACGCTATATCCCTTGTGAGCCCGAATATCTCGAGATGGGCATCCTTTCTATTTGGGACTAGTATTTTTGGCTTATAAAAGGCTAATTATTATAGCTATAATGCTCGCTATATAGGAGCGACCCCAGTGCCATCCTCGTCGGCTCTGCAGTCTTAGGATAGCACTCAACATGGGCTGAAGATCTCGCGCACTCGTCGCCTGCTTCCAACGTGACACGTGACAACTTCTATTAAGTGTATAGGCGCTAATAGATTTCTTCTGCCACTAATTCTTGTGGTAGCACTCTAAACCCTTTCGAAGTTTATATTTGTTAAGATAAGATTAATAAGCTATTTATTTATTTATTTATTTGATTCTTACTCTAATACGGTCTTACCCTAAGGGTGGTCCATGCGGGAAACTATCATCTCTGACCCTGAACAACGCAAACTGGGTAGAATTGAGGAAGCTGAAGGGAAACTCCATCTCAGAAAGTTCGAGGAGTATTGCCGCAGCATCGTCCAAGGTCATCTCGCCTAATGGTTTCCTAGTGCCGTAGCCGAAAGAATGCTCTAGCTTCTTCATACGCCGGTAACGCAAGGCCCGGACGATAAGGAGATACGTGAAGAGTATGAAGACGAGGGTAGCACCCCGCGAGGACACAGCTGAGCCCATAACGTTCCAATGCATTGAGGGGCTTGGTGAGTCTTGTTGATAAGGCATGATACTGGCACTGAGAGGCGGGAATTGTCGTATCTCGCGTGGTTTAATACCACGAAGGCGGTCCGAAGTCTCGCTCGGGCCAGAGTGGGCCCGGGTCAGGTTTTTGGAGAGCCCGGACTAACGTGGCCAATTCTCGAACTGTATGAGCGCTGATAGGTTGGAATTTCTACGCGAAGCACCAGGTGAGCTGCTTCGTACGAAAGCAGTGCGCGCTGCCTGCGATACGCTGTTGTAGTCGTAGGTTGGGAGCAACCCCACGCGCTGGCAAGATCTCTTGTCTTCCTCAGCCTCCTGATTAGGGCGCCTCTCATGGACGATCCCTATAGATTCTGTGTTAACGTGTCTGGCTTCGCTGGCGTACAGGTGGCGAAGTCGTATCGCTGCTAGGCCGCGCCCGACGCGACAACAACATCAGGGGACTCAAGTCTGATGCCGCCACCGCGTCCGCAATGCTGACACAGTAAGGACCTCTTGGCTCTCCTGCTGAGCAGAAGGTTCGTAGCCGACATCACGTACAGGTGGACCTCGTCGTCGGCCTAATAAGCTATTTATAAAGAGATAATAAAGACAATTAATAAATAATATAATAATATAAAAGAAAAGAAATTTATTATTATTATAAAGAAGCTACTAAATAAGGAAATAGTCTTATATATAAATAGTATAAAATTCTATATAAGACTTTAGAAAGATATATTCTAGACAAAAGCATTAAGCCCTCTTGCTTAAGTAAAGTCTAAAATATATAAAGTCTTACTTAAGTTTATATAGATAAAGATAAACTAGAATAAACAGGAAATAGCTAAAGAAATAAAGCAAGAAAACACTAGATAATTTTTAATATTAAAGATTATATATCTAAGATAGCTAAAAAGAGAACTAATAAAAAGCAAGTTTAATTATATAATCTTAGAGCTAATATGTCTAAAGATAACTAATAAGGTTATTTAAAAAGGACTAATTTATAATATAGAGTTTAAGTTAGTTATATAATATAATGAATTCTTATAAATTTAATAATGTTATAGATACTAAGGCTTTAAACACACGTTTACCTAATATAAAAAAGAATAAATCTGTAACTATTATATAGAAAACTATAGAATAGGAACATATATCAAAAAGACTAATTAGAAAGCTATATAATATAGCCTTTGCTTAAGAGACTATAAGATGTGGTCACTAATATATCTGATTTAGGAAAACAAATAGTTAAAGATATAATATAATTATAAAAATAAGGCCTAAGAGTTTATATATATAACTATAAATAAGAAGCTCTTATTCTTTCCCTTCCCTTAGATCCTTATCTCCTTTACTTAGACTCTTACTCTCTCCCCTTTTACCTTGTCTTTCTCTACTCTATTTCTCTCTTCCTCTTCCCCTTTCTCTAATACTAATTAGTCTTAAGCCTTTATATAACATAAAGAGACACTAGAGCTAGATAAAAAATAGACTTAGGTTAAAGAGACACACAAGAGAAAACTAGTATAAGGCCGGCTAATTAGTTTAAGAAACAAACTAAAAAAAGATTCTATATAAAGCTATAATATCTAATTCTTTTTTAGAGGAAACTAAATCACACTTAAAATTAAGAAAAAATAATAGAATATATAATATAAACCTAAAACCTTAAGATATTATAGTATAATGTAAACAAGTCTTATATAAAGGTTTTTATAGGCCTTTTATAAGACTATAAAATAATATTATATAACATTATAATAGTCTAAGAATTATTATATAAATAAATAGTTAGAAATATATTATTTAAAAGACCTTATAATAATTATTTTATTAGTCTAAAATAAACTAACAAATCTAAATATAAACCTTATATAAATAATTAATATTATAATATATACTATTATTAAATCACTTATTTAAAGGCACAAGAGACTAAAACTCTTTATATATTAAGAAAAGCCCTTAAGATATTAGAAGAATAAATTATTATAAAAGATTTTAACCTTTATTACCTAAGATAAAATAAGCCCTCTTACTCTATATAATATAAGCTAGCTAATACCTTTCTTAACATTATACAAAAGGCAGACATAAACTTTATACTATTATAAAGCATAATTATAAGAGATTATTAAAGAAGTAACTTATATAAATAAATAATTATTAATTTAGTCTTTATAACTATAATACTAAGATAGCAACTTATATAATATAAAATAGAAATAAAGCTAGACTAATTCTTAGATTACCTCTTAATTTATATAAAGTTTAAATAAGATAATATAGACTCTCTAGTTAAGATACTCCAAAAAAAAGCAAAAAAGAAACTTAATATTAAAAAGTTTTTTAAGAGCTTAAATCTTTATATAAAGAGCTTTAATAAATATTCTCTAATATTATAAGAGATAATTAACTAGTTTATAAGTAAACTAATAAAAGCCATCTTAAAAGCTATAAAGAAATTAATCTCTTAGATAAGATTAAGCTAACAAAGCAAAAGCTACTAAACAAAAGATTACTAAGCGGCAGTAAAGATAATAAGAGCAGCAAGAAGACAGTTTACTTATTATCTATATCTTGAAATATAACAGAAATTTATACAAACTTAAAGTTAAAAAGACAAGATATTAAGCAAAACAAAAAAAGACGAATTCTAAAGCATAATATAAGAAGTTAGCTTTAAGCTAAATAATATCTAAAAGATTATATAATAAACAAAACAATAATCCTAGAACTAAATTATATAAGTCTTACTTCTAATCCTTAAGCATAGCTTATATAAAGCAAAGAATATAAAGTCTAAAGCGAAACTACTATAGAATATAAGCTTTTCCTCTCTTTTAAAGATTAATCTAAATAATCTAAAAAACTTTTATTACTCTTTAAAAATCCCTTAATAAGAAGAGATTATAGAGAAAGAGATTCTTAGAGTAATAAACTATATAAAAAAGAATAATACTCTAGAACTAGATAAGCTTCTAAATTAAGTAATCTAATTAATTATATAAGAAAAATAACCCTAGTTAAGTGTTTTTTTTAAGCATACTTAGACTAAGAAGTTTAACTAGATTACTATAAAATAATATATATAATAATGCTTAAGAAACTAGGAAAAAGTAATTATATAAACTTAGAAATATATAAATTAATAGCTCTTCTTAATACTATAAGAAAGATTCTAAAAGTAGTTATCTTAAACTAAATTAAATATATAATTAAAGTATATAATCTGTTCCTTAATACTTAATATAACGTATATATAAGTTAAGTTACAGAAATAGTACTTTAATAGATTACAGAGAAAATATATATATTTATTTATTTAATTCTTATACTAATGTGGTCTTAGCCTAAGGCTAGTCTATATAGGGGATATATATAATTAAGAGCAGTTATAACTCTTAATAATAAATAAGAATAAACGTAAGGAAACCTTTCTAAGGAAAAATCTTACTGCTAGTAAGTAAACGAGTTCTTTAAGACGCTTTGACAGTGTGCATAGGGCTCTGTAGCTGCAGTATAGTTAGGCGCAAAGTTGTTTAGCTGTAAATAAGAACTAAGGGAGGGCCCTAGCCTTTATTAGTTAAAGTATTATTATCTTAAGGGCCTTTAGATTATTAAGGAGACGACAGTAATCTGTTATGCCAGCAGCAGCAAGCATCTTGTATCTGTCTGAGAGCAGCAGGCAGTCTATAACCATGTATTAGGCAGTCTATCTTTTTTAACTACACCCGCAGGATGATAAGAGGATGTCTAGAACGTTCTATTTAAAGAGAAAGTCTGTAAAGCCTATTTTGTTAGTCCTTAGCTATGTAGTAAGAGAGCTTTATATCTTAGCTAGGCCTTAATATATCTTTAATCTCTGCTTACTAATTTCCTTACTCTATATAGGGCTTAGGGCTTGCTAGAGTATTACTAGATAGGCGCTCTATAATAATTGCTAGTTCTCTAATTAAGACACTCTAACTATTTAATAATAAGATTAGCATTATTATTACGCTTTTATAAGTAGCGTAGCCGCTTTTTATAAGGGTTTTTCTTATAGTAAAGAACATTCTAAGACTTAGTTTAGCTTTATCTCTGTATTAAGCTTAAGAAGGCATTATTTATGCTAGCTATACTTTCTAGTACCTAGTATTATAATAGCATAGCAGAGGCGTCCCTGTTATAAGTTGAGCTTCTTAATAATCTGAAGATAGCTTTTATAAATAAGTTGCCTTATACCTATAACTGTGAGTTTGCAATAAGAGTCTATCTAGATACTATTGAGTAGCAACAAAAAAGGCAGGGAGTAAGTCTCCGCTTTAAGGACTAGAATAGGCGTGGCCTTATAGGCCTTAGCTATTACACGTAAGCACCTATTCTAGATAAGTAAGAGTTTAGTAGTATTTGATTTTGTGCCTTATAACTTGTTAGAAAGATGCTAAATAGCTAATATATAAGTTATTACTAGTTTAATAATAGTATTATAAATATGTCTTATATATAAGAGGGAAGCGTCTTATATAAAAGTTAATAAAGCTATAAGTGTAAGCGTCTATTAAGTTATCTTTTAAAGTATCTTTTTAATATAAGGGCCTTATTTTAATTAAGTATTAATCTAAAGTTTTAATACTCTAATGTCTATTTTTATTACTATTAAGGTGCTAGCTATATTAATTGTTACTTCTATATTAAACTTCCTTAGATTTCTTATAAGGTGAATTAGCTTATACTTTTGCAGTATAAAGATAGCATTATAATAATAGGCCTAGCGTAAGTACTTATTATATAACTGCTTTAGACATCTATAGTTTTTCTTTATACTTTAGCTAAACACAAGTATATTAATATTATTAAAAAAGCCAAAAGCGCTCGCTTTAGTCCTTTAATAATTCATAATATCTAATAGATCCGTATTATAAAAGAGGTATAGAATAAGCGAGACTAGAGAGCCCTAAGGAATCCTTATACAGACCTTAAATCTCTTAGATGTCTAGTCACTTATAGAGAGCGTAAAAGCCCTATTTGACAGAAAGCTTGCTACTTATTTA